CTAGTTTGCTCCCTGCAGGGTCAGACCAGTGCAGAATAATCCTCCTTGGAGGTGAATCCCATCCTTCATCCTTTGTAGGAGTTTCTTTTTCACCTCAGGAGGTCTGTTAGGTCCCTGGAGAGGCACAGGGGCTGCTGTGCCCTCTTGCTGCCTTTCCTCCAAGATGGAATAGACTTAGCTTGTGCATTGAGGATTGCTCCCTTGAGGAGCAACCACTCTTCTTGAACTCCCCTCCCCCTGGGGTTGTGGTCCCTTAGGGCCTGACTGACAAGACTCCTGAGCTTGTCAAAGTTGGCTTTCCTGAAGTCAAGGACTTCCGTGTTGCTGACTGACTTGCCAGCTTTACGGTGGATGGTGAAGGAATATGGAGGAATTCCCCCAGGGACTGAGATTTTTTTCCCCTCTAGTCTAAGATTTCTGTTTGCAGATGAACATTAGCACAGGTTGTGTGTTATTGTATAAGAGGCATAATTAACCTGAAAATATAACACAAGTTATTAGTAAAATACTATTATATTAAAGAATCAGGTGGCCTCCACAGATATTTTCCTAACATCCACATATAGCAAGCTGTAACCTAGAGAGAATTTAAATTCCCAACAGGGAATGTATATGCAGTTTTCTAGTATTTCAAATACTGATATATAATATTTATATTTTATTCTGAACTCTGTATAATGCTGCCCAGAATGAAGCAGAACCACCTGAAAAAAAATTTTCATGTTTTCAAGCATGTCAACTAACAACAAAAGTGCAACTACAGCAGTTGACAAAAATACACAAACTTCTCTCAGTTACTGAAAACGTTCCATAACTCTGTCTATAATCTGTTTGATTAAAATTACCCAAGGCCTCCTCCCCAAGCTATCACTGAAGAGCTGAGGAAACATTAAAATTCAGCAAATATATATTCATATTGAATTAAATTAAACAAACAAGGTTAAAAAAAACCAAGAGGGCCTGCATCTGTTTAGTCTTATTTAAAATAGTGTGTGATCACACAGTTCTGACACTTAGTCACTTTGGCCATTTGTATACACTGTGGGGGTTTACTTTGCCCTAAATTGAAGTGATGGGTTTTTAAACATACTGCTTCAATTTAGGGCAAAGTAAACTCCTGTGGCATGTACACAAGGTTGGGGCCTGATCTTACTTGCCTCTCCAGTGGTGGGGAGGAGAGAGCAAGCTGCTGACAGGCCGTGTCTCCCCTGAGCTGCGGGGGGGGGGGGCTGGTACCTCCCTCCACAGCAGCAGCAGTACCCCCCAGGTGGTACCTGCCCACAGACACCCAGCCTGGGTGGTCCTGGGGGGCACCACAGCCATAGAGGGAAGCACTGGGCCCCCACATAGCTCAGGCAGGCAAGCAGGCTCCGGGGAGAAAAAATGATCAGGCTTCCTGGGTTTTTTTTCCTTCAGTGGAGCCTGTCTGCACAAGCTGCCACCAGGTTGCCTGCACAGCCCCTGCCCTGAGCTGCATGGGGCCTGGTGCTTCCGTCCATGGCTGTAAGGTAGCAAACTAAGACACTTTGGAAATATTTTATTTTGCCACGTCCAAAAGTCATTTAACATCCAATGCGCCACTGAACGTGCAAACAGCAATGCTATTAAAACAGTGCAAAAGGGCATTTAACCCACTTTAAAGGCCAATTTCGTGGCATGTACAAAGGCCCATAAAAAGCTTTCTTCTGATATGTTCTAATCTACCACTCCAACGCACTTAGCCAGATACTTTCATGGAAATATGCATTTAATTTCATGTCTCTTACTTTGCCCGATAGCTTATTGACATTGAACCATGTTTTGGAACATTGGAAATTCTCGCTGAAAATTATTCTTTCATTTCTCATGGGCCTTGCTTCTGCCTCCTCAAAATATGCAGACATCTTGTTGCAGTCACAGTTCCAATTTTCTTTAAGCAAACTTAGCAGCATGGTAGTTCAGTGGAACAAGGCATGAAGTACTAGAAACTGTTGAGATACATTTTGTATGCTTCACAAAATTCCAGTGAGAAAAGAAGTGCTTTGTATATACCCCTCTGCCTTCAGGAAAGCCATTTTATTTACAACCATGGCTCCATTTGCATACTGCAGTGTACACTGCTTGCCTGTGATGCCAGCTCAAGGTGGAAACTCTGTCCTATAGTAGAAACTCTGTCACCAACTTTGCAAGGCCTTACATTCAACTTAAAGGCATTTCGTTGTGTGCCTTCCTGTAAAACTTTTGAACACCACATCTGATCAATCCCACAATTTCAAGAAATACTCTGGGCATCAATTGCCAGAACCCTGTTGATTGTGATGAAAATCAGAAAACTGAAACAGGGCACAGACTAGCAGAGCTATAGCTTCCAGCACCAATGTAATTATCCCTAGGTCAAACAACTGGCTAATGGCAGCACTCTATCTCATCCCTGTCTGAAAAACTTAACATGTGGAAACTCTGAATGACTTACCTCCTGGACAGAAGGAAAAGAAATCATAATGGAAGGAAGTGAGAAGTAGGGCTGTGTACGAAACCTTTATCACAGAGGGAAGAATGAGGGGTTGAAATAGAGAAGGAGTATGGAAGGCACACAGAAACGTCTGATGACAGCATCTGATAAAGTGAGCTCCAGCTCAGAAAAGCTTGTGGGGTGTGTGTGTGCGTGTGCGTGCATGCAACTAAGTTAGCCTACAAAGGTACAAATCTACCATTCTTCTACACAGAAATATTGTCAGGGGGAAAAAACCTGGAGGACCCTTTTTATAAGTGGGGAAGAAAAAGTATCCCTTGGCACACTGTGGAATGGGAAGTTATGAATGACAGGAAGAATGAGTGTAGACATGGGGAGATATTGGGGCCTGATGGCACACAGAAAGCCTCTGGCACAGCAGAGGAGACTGAGGAACAACAGTGAGAGGTTTATATGGGAAGAACAAGGACTACACTTGAGGGGGGTCATGGATTTGGAAAGGAGCCCCTGAATATAGGGAATGGGAAGGTAGCACACAAGGAGCTTGTAAGGAGAAACCCTTCAGTTGGCAGAAGCTACACAGTGCCAAACCCTTTCCCAGATACTAGAAATACCCACCTGATACTTTCATATCAAAAGTGAGGCTCATCAGTCACCCACATTGTGATCAGTTCCAGTGATGTTCTCTTGTTTTCACCAATTTTTAAAGGTGCTGTCTTGGTGGATCAAACACTTTTTTCTCTCCAAGCCAAAGGAGCGAAGTGTAACACCGCCAAAATTATAAACCATGATTCCTCTCAAATTACTGTAACATGATGGAAGATGAAGAAATGGTTTAAATATCTAAAACTAAGTAAGATCTTGCTAGGCCAGGTGGAGCATCCAAAATAAGTGGATATTTTCTGCCAAGAACCACACAACACTCCATTCCTGGAAACAAAAAACTCAGAAAATAGGTGTTTATTCTGTAGTCATATAAAAATACATTCCTTATTTTTAATGTCTCTAGGCTAGAAAGAAGCACTTGCAGCTGCAGTACAGCTTCAATGTATCCTTGACTGTAGACTTTAAAATGGAACCAAATGGAAACCAAATTCCCAGTGTGTGAACAGGAAGTTTCGCTCAGTGCCTTTAGTGAAAGATCAAATATAAGAGGTGGTATCTTGATGTTTCTTTTTCCTGCCATTTCTACCGGAGAGACTGAAATAACAGGAAAAGAAAAAAAAATGAAAACAGTTATAATTCCATTTACTGTCATAATGCCATCCCTTTTTCTTGTCTACTGAAGCAGATAAGTAAAACAGGGCAGAATTCTATTTCACTACAGGGTCATGTAAATGACCCATTGGCATTTTTTAAGCATCTAATATAAGTCAATCAATGACATTTTACTTTTTCTCACAAAACAGCTTGAATTGTGGCTGGGCACCTGGGGTAGCTGCCACACATAGGGGCATCCATTTTTTCTGGCTCCACCTCCAGTCAGTACCTGGGACAGCTGCCCTGATTACACCACTGCTCTATGAAACTATTTTTGCCCCTTCCGTGTATGTTTGAAAGCAACTGAATGCTGCACAGGAACATGTCTAAGTTTATTTACATTCTGTTGCTATAAAATCTACCACGGATGCAAAGAAGCTCAGTGGAAACCCCCCAAAATTGTAATTAATCAAAACCCATGACTGGTGACTGTTCGATACTGCTGCGTAGTATGATGCAGAGGAGGGATATATGGCAGGTGCTTGGAGTATAAGACTCCAGCAACAAGAATGTCCTGTGTTCCTGCTGTGTATCCCACCACTATGCCAAATTGACATGGCACCTCATGGTTTCCAACACCATCTGATGGTCAAGGAGCATCTATGTGGAACACATAGTGGCAGTACGTGGACAGTGGCAGTCATGGGATAGTGGCAGTATGTGAACCCTACCAGACCATGGGCTAGAAGCAATGCAGAGGGGACCACCTGACTGCCACCCCCCCCACACACACAAATTGCCTTCAAGGGACTTTTAATCCTGGACTGTTCCCTACCCCCACAATTGTATCTTGCATGTTGTTATTTGTAACTGTATGTGCTTTCCAAATCATCTCCCTATTACAATAAAGTATTGTTGTACTTTATTGGGGTCTCATATGTTCTTTGCTTTGCAAGTGTCATGCCCCCTCTCTCTCCCCTGCCCCCCCCCCGGGCTTATCTGCTTGCACATTTCATATGTAGGGACCTACCAAATTCATGGTGGAAGCAGGCTGTGTGGTGGCTTGTTTACTCTTGAAGTTCCCCCATGCACCCCCCACACCATTGCTGATTGGCTGAGGGACACCAGCGGCCTTGCTGTTTCTGTCTGACCAGCCAGGAGGCAGAAACAGTGCCTGATTTAAAACTGTGGTTTTTGCCTCCCTGCTGATCAGGAGCAAATGGCGGGTCCCTTCCATCAATCAGTGAGGGGGGCATGCAGGGGGAAACTTCAAGATTAAAGGAGCCACTGCACAGCCCACTGCCACCATGAATTCGGTAGGTCCCTATTCATATGCAACTTAATTGCATTCCCACCCCTACCCCCATCATCTACTATGTAGCCTCCCTCCCCTGGGTCTTTCTATATTTACTTGTGCTTTGAACTTTGTCATTTGAACTTTAACAGTTTCTAATAAATTAAATCTGTTCTTAAAAAGAAATACTTAGCCAGGACAGGCCTAGGTTTTAGGTTGACCTCCTCCTGAGGGGTGCTGCAAGTGAAAAGGAATGGAAGGTGCTCGCAGTCACATCTGTCCCACAGTTAGGATATTAGGGAACCTTGCTGGAACATAGGAACTAAAGGTTCTGATTCCTGAAGCTAAAGTGGGACTAGAACCCAGGTTCCCTATGTCCTGACCAAGTGCCCACCCTATCTAACTTCACAAAGACAAGCGCCTATTGAGTCAAATGGTCCTATGCAGCAGCCCCTACTCAGGGAAAACTCACAATAAGTTAAATGGGGTTTTGTCTAAGTAGGAACTACTGGAATGTTCAAAGAGTTAAAAACAAATTTGGAGTAGGGTTTTCCTATTATTTGTGTAAGATGCGTACAAATTAGCTGTCTCCTTATGACAAAGGAGCTGGTTTTCTATAGAACAAGCCAGCTTCCATTTGTATTAATTCTTTTTAATCCACTTGCCGCTGAAGAATTGAAAAATGCACCTGTCAAATCAAATTACCACGTGGATGTATTTTTGAACCCTATTAAGGTGTTTACTCTGGTGTTGTAGGAACAAACTACCATGGGATGATATGATTTTGATTTATGACAATGGATGGGAAAAAAACACTTTACAGTTCCTCAGAAAAATCATATCAGTGCAGCAATGAAGCAGAGACACATCATACCTCGGAAGCTGTTCCACATCTTCCACTGTCTCTGGTAACGAGATTCCCTTTGTCTCAGGCAGAAACAATACTAGGAGCCCACAAACAGTGGCAAGTATACCTAGAAAGCAAATCAAGAACACAAGCTAATATGCTGTTTTTCTCATTCTAGGGACTGACCACATAGGGAAATTTACCTGGGGTAAAGCAAAGTGAGACTCTAAAGTAAAATACTCATTCCTAGTTAACTCCCATGCAGGTTCAGTAATAGCTATTCTAGAGCAGGGTTGCCAACTATCCATACATTTTTGGACAGTCCATAAAAAAAAAAGCTTTTTGTTTTTATGAACCGTCCATACATTTATGGATAGTTGGCAACCCTGCTCTAGAATAGCTATTACTGAACCTGTGTGGGAGTTAACTGTTTTTTATGGACAGTCCATAAATTTCTGGACACCAGTCTATAAAGTCTGTAAGAAAAAAATAGGCTTTCTGTAAAAAAACTAAGTAACTAAGAGCTTGATTGAAGATCCCTTGTTGGAAAGAAACTGGTGGCAAGTGTTGATGGACAGCCAGAGCAGAGAGGCACCCCCTGGTGTCTGAGTGGAAATGCTTCTGCAGGGAGCATTCTCATAGGGTTTTGTAGTCCATGGGAGCCTCTATAGCCTCACTCCGCCTGAACTATGTGCTTTTCTGCTGCATCCCTATAATGCTGCTGGTTTCAAGTAGGCAGACAGTCTTTCTTTGGGAGCCTGTGCCAGGATGGGGAGAGCAGGGTCAGCAGGGGTAAGGCTGGACGGTGGACTGGGGGTGGCAGCATGGCATGGAGTATGGTTGGGGGCATCAGGTTGTGACAGTAAGCAGGGGATCCCTGGGGTGGAGACATCATAGTGTTACTGCAGTCAAGCAGGGTTGCCAACCCAAGAACTTTTTTTTTTTTTTTTTTACTGATAATCTGCAAACTTTTTACTGACAACCAAACTTTATTTTACTATGGTTGGTGTTAAATTCCTGAATTTGAATCCAGCCCTTATCCAGGGCCTGGCAGAAGGATTACATTTACATTATGTAAAACATATGGCAGTAAAATATATGACAATAAAAAGCTTGGTTATCAGTAAAAGAAAAAAAATTGCCTTGGGTTGGCAACACTGACGTAACTCCTTCTGAAGTTCTGAAGTAACTCCTTGTGTAAACCAGGCCTCAGTTTTAGGATAGTTTTGTGGAACAGAGTAAGAGAAGGGTAAAAACACCTGAAGGTGTTTTCAGAATAAGTAAAATCAGAAGTTATGTTTTTCTCCCATGTCTTGCATCTTGGGGGAAGAAGAGGCTTATTTATTTCACTAGAAGTAGAATGCAACCATGCTGATTTTCTCTCATTTCATAACATGCTGCAAGATGGAAGAACATCAGCTCCTCCTACTGTAGCAGAAAATCTGAATAAGATGGTGTAACCAGGCACATATGGACACCCTGATTGTTAAATAAATATTAATTTACAATTAATTTTCTTTTATCTTTTCTTTTTCACTTGCTACCTCAAATCCCCTTTAAGTATCATTCTTCTTTGCTCAATTTACCCTGTTCAGTCTACTGTTTTCCAAGTCATTAAAAAATGCTTTAGACTCAGACTCTGGGTTTCCCAGTAAAAGGAAATATTTTTTCTATCCAATTAGCCTGCAGAATTCCTTAGCAGAAGATACCACTAGAGGGCAGGAGCTCAGTAGGATTTCAACTCTATTAGAAGAGTAGCCACAATCTTATTATTGTACACTAAAACCCTCAAGAAGTTCTTTGCAAGGAATATACATTCTCATGCCTCAAGGCAGAAGCCAAACACTGACTTCTGGGAATAAGCAGAAAAACTGTTGAGATGTGTGTTGCCTGTAGATGTGCAGGGAGGCTGCTCCAATGCACTGTAATAACAGTGCATCAGAACAAACTCTACTAATGAAATCTTCTGGAGCATGCTAATTAGTGTGCTCCAGGAGCCTCCGTGTCTCATGTATCAGCATCCCTATGCTTCAAATGGTGGTGGGGGCACTTTAATTAAAGCTCATTCAATGGGGTTAGTTAAAGTGCCCCTGCCACCATTTTGAAGCGCAGGGACTCTGATACTTGAGACGCTGCGGGCACTTTAATTAGAGCGGCTCCAAGAGTCGCTCTAATTAAAGCACTCTACCCCCTGGAGCACATGTCAAAATGGCCCCTGTGATTAGATGATCCTGATGCAGGATTTTTTGCACTTAGCCCTGAAAATGTCTGGAATTGATCCTTGTTGCTAATAGGGCTCTGGATTAAATGGACCAGCATTCTGAACCAGTATCTTTCTACTACCAGCTTACCCTATGAGATAGTAAATGAGAGAATAGCTGATCCTCAGCCAGATTCTCAGCTGGTGTAAATAGGTGTCACTTGATTTCTACAGAGCCGACACTGATTTACAACAGCTGAGAATCTGGACTCTGGTGTTCATTTTGTCTCATGATTGATTGTCACATATGAAAATTACCTTGAAAATATGAAAAAACACATCACTACACAAGGGTTTAATGATGCATTTTCAAGAACATAAGGTGGGAAAAGGACAGTTTTTTCCATGAGACTGAAGACTGGTTTTCAGAAGGACAACACTGCAGTGGGAATTCCACAAGGCATGGGGGTGGTTGAGTCAGCCAGAAGGCCTTCACAAATGCGATGCCACAGCCAACAAAGCAAATAAAAATCTAGCTTGCATCTACTGATGCATCTCAAGCAAGACCCAAAAATTCTTCCTCTCGCTTTACTTGGCTTTGGTGAGGCTGCAACTGGAGTACTGCATCCAATTCTGGGCTCCACACTTTAGAAAGTATGTGAAAAAGCTTGAGAGATTCCAGAGGAGAGTCATGTGCATGATTAGAGGTCAAGAGAGTAGGCCTTATGAAGAGAGGCTGAGAGGCATGGGACTCTTCAGTCTGGAAAAGCAAAGGTTACGGGGTGACTTGGTGGGAGCCTATAAGTACATAAGGGGTGTGCATCAAGAACTGGGAGAACATCTGTTCACCAGGGCACCCCAAGGGATAACAAGATCTAATGGTCACAGACTGCTAGAAGACCATTTTAGACTGGACATAAAGAAAAACTTCTTTACCGTCTGAGTCTCCAGAGTCTAGAATAGACTCCCCCTAGAAGTGGTGCAAGCACCTACTCTGGATACCTGTAAGAAATGCCTATCTTGCTGGGGTGAATGTAACCCTAGTTGACTTCCTGTCCCTTGGGCAAAGGGCTGGACCCCACGATCTCACAAGGTCCATTCCAGCCCTAATGTCTTTGAAATCTATGAAACCTATGGATCTCCAACTGCTCAGATAGCTGGATGCACATGCTGAAGTGGCAGTTTCAGCCCAACCTGAAAGATGCAGCACATGCATGGACAGTGCTCCCCTAGATGCCTAAGCTGGATAGTGAGGGTGGGATTGGTTGGATTTGGGGGAAGAAGAGGCCAAGCAATAAAATTTCCCTCATAAAGAGTAACCACATTCAAAGGCATGTTAAAGAAGTTATTTTCTATCCATTTTACATTTTAAATTAATTCTTACTGAAAATGATTAGCGGTAGCTCCAACCAGATGGCTGCTAATCGGAAGAGCAGGAATGGGGCTATGAAGCCGCCTATATCACAGAAACCCGAACACACGGAAACACCAAAGTTTCTGCAAAAGAAAGATATTGACATTCATTTCAGAGGGATTAAGGTAAAGAACCAGTAGGAATGTAATCCGGAAGATGTCATGCCATCACCCAAAATATTTTCACTCAAACACATACCATATCCTATGCAGTGGCTTACATTAACAGACCAATACATTAATTCCACCTAGTATGCTCATGAGAAAACAGAGGTTCACTGAAAAAATTATCTATGGAGTCCAGAGTGGGAAAGAGCTGAGTTGTTATTTTAAAAGAATGACAGCAGCTTTAAGTGCCAGAGTCTATCACTTAGAACAGTGGGCAGATTCAACCCATAAAGTGCTTAGATTTAGCCCACAACAGCATAGGGAATCAGCAGCAGGCAGCTCAGCCCGGCACGTCCCCTCATTCTGCCCCATGCCATGCTGCAACATCCACCCCACTGAGAGGACAGCCACCACCCCTTCTTCCCCTCTATGACATGTGTTTGCTCACTGTCACCACCAAATTCAGCCCTTCCCACTACCTTTGAGGATTGGTGGCAAGCAGCAGAGGTGGTGGTGTGTGATTGAAGGCAGCAGCAAGAAGCCTGGGTGCTCCAAAGATGAGGTGCTGGGGAGGCCAGTGCCAGTGAGGGGGAAGTGGCAGCCTGTAGCAATGGCTGGGTCACCAGCCGTGGTCCACTGAAAGGTTGCTTGAAAGGCTGCTGACCCCTGACTTCAAACATTAGATTTAGCTGGCTAATCAATCATCTTCCTCAATAGGAGTGCTAAGATAGGGTTACCATATTTCCAGTTTCAAAAAAGAGGATACCCGTGTGTGTGTGTGTGGGGGGGTAATATGATTGTGGGGGGGGAGTGATATGCCCGTGCCCTGTCCCTCACTCCCAAGCTATAGGCCCCCCAGCCCTGCTGCTGCCCCTCACTCCCAACCCACAGTACCCCAACCTCCAAACCATGCTGGTGCCCCTCACTCCCAACCTGCAGCCCCCGCCCCCCCCCAGCCCTGCTGCCCACACAGCTGCCCACTGGCCCTGAAGAACCCCCACCCCCTTTTCCTGCTGGAGGAGTAGGCAGCCAAGCACCAGCAGGCACTGCCCCCCCCGACACACACACATGCGTGCATGCACACTCCCCAACCCCTAGCCTTACCTGCCTGCAGCTGCCAGGACTTGTGACCAGATGCATGTGATACCCCTGCCCCACTCCCCCCACCCCCAA